AGTCTGTGAGTCCTTGTGTATACCCCTCTAAGCTATGTTTGTCGAATTGCGCAGGTACAACCAATGCCATCCCTCCCTTGAATATCCTAATGGATTGTGCCATAACTCAAGATTCTGAGAACCATCTGGACAATAGCTTAGAACAAGAGAGAACTAGAATCTAGTCCCTAATTCTGGAAAACCTATTGGATCCAACCCTAGGAGTGGAGAATGTTGAAAATAGAGTAAACCACCCCTTCACCCGACCAAAGTCAGTATCTCGAACCTTAATCCAGGAGGATGCTAGGAGGCTGAATCAGGAGGAAAAAGAAGAGTTAGAAGGAAGCAGAAGAGTGGGAGGAAGAGTGAAGGAAATAATTTATATTTAAGGAAGAAAGGAAAGCAAAGTGAGCTAGAGAAACTTAAGTGTGGAATTAATTATGAGAAGAAGGAAGAGGGGAGCCTGAAAAGAAAAAAGAGGGGAACAATAGGCAGCCATTGATAAGGGGTCTTAAGCAGATTGAAATGAAGATAGTCAACTGGAATGTAAGAGGCCTTGGAAGTGCCAAAAAGAGGAGGATAATTAGGAATACTCTCAGAAAAGAAATACCAGATCTGATTTGATTCAAGAAACCAAACTATCAGAGCTGAATAGAAGGTGGATAAGAAGCATTTGGGGAGCCAGGGGTCTAAGCTGGTCATATGCCCCATCATGGGGAGCCTCAGGAGGGATTTTGACCATTTGGAGAAATGAGGAAATGGAATGTGTGGAGGAATTAATTGGTAGATACTCAGTCTCCTTAAAAATTAGAAGACCCTCGGATGGGTGTGAATGGGTGATAACAAATGTATATGGTCCTAACTCCTATAGAGATAGGGAGGCTTTTTGGGAGGAGTTATTTGCTATTAGAGGAATTTGGGAGGGAGCATGGTGTGTGGGAGGTGACCTCAGTGTTATAAGATATTCGGGAGAAACAAACAAGCCGAACCAAGGAATCACTACCATCATGAGAAAGTTTAATAACTTAATTGATTCCCTTGAATTGAGTGAACCTTCGATGTTAAGGGTGGACTATACATGGTCAAATTTTCAATCCCCCCAACCTGCTCCAAACTGGATAGATTTCTCATTACTCCCGACTGAGAAGAATTATGAGGCTCAATAGTAGTAAAAGGGCTACCTAGGGTTACCTTAGACCATTGCCCCATCTCCATTGAGAAGGAAATTCCGGGGGGAGGCCTGACTCCTTTCAAATTCGAAAACATGTGGTTTGAGGATCACTCATTTAAAACTAGACTGAAGGATTGGTGGCAGGAACTCAGATCTTTGGGGAGTATGAAAATGTTAAGCTTTGCATGGAAATTAAAGAGGATAAAAAGGAAAATAAAAGAGTGGAACAAAGAGCATTTTGGGAGGGTAGAGGAAATAAAAGATAATTTAGTGAGGAAGATTGAGGAGCTAGACAAGAAAGAGGCAATCAAAAGGTTATCAGAAGAAGAGAGAGAGGATCGATGGAAAATCAAGCAAGAATTGGAAGAGATTTTAAGGAGGAAATTTGTTGGAGACAGAAGTCAAGGTGTCAATGGATTGTTGAAGGAGATGGTAATACTAAGTTTTTCCATGCAATTGCAAATGGAAGGAGAAAGAAAAATTTAATCGTTAGCGTGGAGGAGGGGGGTTAGGAAGTAAGAGAGAGTCAGGAAATCACAAGGATCTTTTTAACCATTTCAAGGAAGTCTTTACAAGCTCAAGCGGGGTGACAATAGAGCTACCAGAAATGGAAGGGGATAGGCTCTCAGAAGAGCAGTCTCTGTTCTTGGAGAGGAACTTCACTTTGGAAGAACTTAAGAATGCAATTTTCTCCATGGAAAGATCAAAAGCCCCCCGGGCCGGATGGATTTTCAATGGCCTTTTATCAAGAATACTGGGATTGGTTGAAAACGTATATTTTGGAAGTGTTCAATGAATTCCTTCTCAAAGGAGAGGTGCCTCGAGGGGTGAATGCCACTTTTATCACTTTAATCCCGAAGAGGAGGGGGGCCAAAACCCCTAAAGATTATAGGCCAATTAGTCTTGTTGGGAGTGTATACAAAATTATTGCAAAGGTTCTCTTAGAAAGGATAAAAAAAGTGCTACCATTGATCATTCACCATTCCAAGGTGCCTTTGTGGAAGGTAGGCAGATTATGGATCAAATTTTAGTAGCCATTGAGTGTGTTGCAGAAAAAAGAAAGGGTAGAGGAAAAGGGTTGGTGTGTAAGGTGGACCTAGAGAAAGCCTATGATATGGTCAACTGGGAAGTGCTACTTCAAATGTTAGAAAGGTTGGGTTTTGGAACCAAATGGAGATCTTGGATTAGGGGATGTTTAAGTTTTGTTCTTATTCAATTCTTATTAATGGAGTAGCGAAGGATTTCTTTCCGGTTGAGAGAGGAAATAGGCAAGGAGACCCCTTATCCCCTTTTCTTTTCACTTTAGTGGCTGAGGTGTTAAGCAGAATGGTGGCGAAAGCCGATTTCCAAGGATTGTTAAGAGGGTAGAGGATAGGTAATCAAGTGGTTGTTACCCACCTTCAATTTGCAGATGACACAATTTTCTTTTGTGAGGGAGGCAACGAGGAAGGAGTGGTTAGCCTAAAGTTGCTATTGGATTACTTTGTGGGGGTGGCAAGTTTAAGGATAAATTGGACCAAAACAGGCATTGTAGGGATCAATCTGGAGGAAGGGAAACTCAATAGATTTGTAGAGATTTTGGGGCGTGAGATTAGAAATTGGCCAATTAGCTACTTGGGGTTACCTTTATGTGGTAACCCTAGGTTAAAAGGTTTTTGGAAGCCAGTCATTGGAAGATTTGCTAGGAAGCTAGCTCTGTGGAGGAGGAATTATATCTCTCTAGGTGGTAGGATAACACTGATTAGAGCCATGTTGGCAAACCTCCCTATTTACTTCCTCCCAACCTTTAGAATACCCTATAGAGTAGTAAGGAGGTTAGAAAAATACATGAGAGATTTCCTTTGGGACCTAGGTGAGGAGAGGAAGACTCACTTGATTAATTGGGATCAAGTTAGAAAGCCCAAGGATAAAGGGGGTTTGGGAATAGGAAATATTTCACTTAGGAATTCAGCTCTGTTAGGAAAATGGTTGTGGAAATTCTCGTTTGAGAGAGACATGCTATGGAACAAAGTCATTGTGAGTATTCATAGTTTGGTTGGAAATGGTTGGGGTGCAAAAACTGCCCCTCATGTTTCCTCATCTTCTCATTGGAAAGCAATTTATGAATTTTACCCAACATTCCTTAATTCTGTTTGGTTTGATGTGGGCCAGGGTAATAATGTTCATTTCTGGGAAGACCTTTGGGTGGGAGATAGCCCACTCAAAGACCTCTTCCCTGACCTATACACTTTGTCAAACTTCAAAGGGGAAAAAGTAAGCATTTTGGGTAATCCTGGCCCAAATGGGGTCAATTGGAATCTGGGTTTCAAAAGGGGCCTTAGGGAAAATGAATGTGCCTCTTTAGTTCAATTGCTGGATCTAATGGGACAAATTCATTTGGACCCATCCTTGGAAGATTCTAGAATATGGAAAGGCTCCTCAGATGGTCTTTTCTCTTGTTCCTCCTTTTTTAGTGTTCTTGCCACACCTAGCAACCCGGTTGGGGACTTCCCTGTAAAAGAAATTTGGAGTAAGCCTATCCTCCCAAAAATCAAGCATTCTGTTGGGAACTATTCCTTGGCAAGGTTAATACTTGTGATATGTTGCAGAGAAGAAGGCCTTTTTGCTTGCCTTTCTCCTCACATGTGCTCCCTTTGTAAGGAAAGTGGTGAGACCTTGACACATCTATTATTATCTTGTTCCTTTGTGCACCACATTTGGGAATTTTTTTTTGTTTTCTCTTTGGTTGCAGGTGGGTTTCCCCTCAAGATGTGGCAAGACCTTTCAACTGAGACTTTTTGAGGCAACCAAAGAAAAGAGGGATGGTTATGTGTAAGGCTACAAAGACAACTATTTGTTGGGTGGTTTGGGAAGCAAGGAATAACAGAATATTCTTGGACAAGAGTAGAACACTTGAGGAGGCAATTGGCACAATTAAAGTTAAAGTAGCTCATTGGGTAAGATCTTTGCATATCTTTCAAGATTTCTCAGTCATAGACATTATAAAATTCTGGACAGAGGTAGCACAATCTTCAAGAGTGAAAGAGAGAGTAAGGATGGAATGGAAACCTCTAGATGGTAACATAATCAAACTGAATTTTGATGGAAGATCTTTTGGAAATCCGGGACTGTCAGGTATCGAGGGAGTAATCAGAAATTCTGGAAGGAGAATATTAGCATGTAATCAGAAATTCTGGAAGGAGAATATTAGCATGTAATCAGAAATTCTGGAAGGAGAATATTAGCATTGTTTTCTGGACCTATTTGCATGGGCAACTCTCTAAAAACTGAGTTAATGGCATTGCTACAAGGACTAAAGATAGTTAGGCAACTAGGTATGAGGCATATTGAGGTTGAAGGGGACTCCAAGGTTATCATCTCTTGGGCTAAAAACAATAGAACTACTCCGTGGACTTTCAAACAAGTGATAAGGGAAGTGGAAATGGTCGCAAGGGAGGTAGAGGCTGAATTCAAATGTGTTAGAAGGAGTGCAAATGGGCTAGCTGATTATGTTGCTAAGCAAGGGGCTTTGAGGCAACAATTGTTTTGGGCTGCAATGTAAAGAGGGACAGAAATATGTAATAATGTGGGAGCCCGAATCCCATACACAAAGTTGTAAAATTTTTAACTCTAATTTCAAATAAAATTCTCCTTTGCTGATAAAAAAAAGATAATGATAAATGAAAAATAAGAACCTGCTGACCGCTAAATAGACATTGCCTGTATTTATAGCTTCATGCGACTCGCCATACTTTATCTGTGGTAGTGTAGTTATACAAATAACCTATCCAGTATATATTTACCTGTATGGAATTCTTTATGGTATTCCTCTTTGTTTTTCATTTTTCACTTATAACCTATTCGTTTTCAGTTTGTAGGTCTTGCATAATAGCAGGAAAAAAACCTCATGAAAGGACGGAAGAATCTAAAGAGGGCTGCTAGGGAAGAAGTCCTTACTCTACAAGAAGGACAAAGCATAATGCGAGTTGTATCCCTTCGAGGTTCAAATGTCATTGAGGTGGGTGTTTATGTTTTAATTGCTTTCTCTTGCCTCTTTTTAATGTTTATTTATTTATTTATTTTGTAATCTGATTTTTCTGTCCTGGTATTTTTCTTCAAAGTTCTTTTTGTCCCCTTTGATTCTATAGAAATTCTGAACTAGATCTGTCTTCTTCTTGATGTTGTTTTATAGCGTACATATTTATTCTTTAGCTTGCTATCTGGTTGCATTTTTCTTACCTGACCTACCATGTACTTGGACTATTTAAGCATTAGAACTATCAAATTGGGTTCCGTTGCAGTTTTATTGTAATTCTCCTAATTCCTTTGCTCCTCCTTTGTTTTTGTTGTTATTTTATTTCCGTTTTAATTTAGTTAAGCAATCTCAAATTCAGGGGCCACTGCTTGGTGTAGTGGTAAAATTAAAATCTTGCGCTAACAATTGTGAAAACGTCAAAACACATGTTTGAGTTTGAGAGAAGCCACTTTGTGCCAAAAGAAGTTGAAGGTTAGGTGATGCAGATGCAAAAGCAAGGAAAGAAGTCATGGGAAAACAAACCAATTACCCAATTCCTACACCAATTTCAGAATGTTTTGGTGATAGGATATTGGTAGTGTTTCATTTTTTCTCCTACTTGTAGGTGTCTTAAGAATAGGGTTCTGTTTTTTTAGAATTTTATTGTTATTTGAAAACTCCTATTTATGGTAACTTTGGAGTTTTACTATTTTTAGTAATTCTTGCAATTACTATGTTTAATAAACCTGCTGTTTTCTATTTTTAGTTCAGGTGTCTTTAAAGTAAGTTAGTCTTAATGGGAACAATAATGGGTTATTGGAGTTGTTTGAGGAATTAGAGTTCTTATTGGAGTGTCCCTTTGGGTTACCTTAGGATTTGTCTTAGTTTCGAAGCAATTAGAAGTTGTTCAGTTTCCTAGCCCAAATCTAAGGCTATAAAGGGACACTTGAGCTCATATCTTGAGTCTATAAATAGAGTCGTTGTAATTGCAGTTTAAGAATAGTTGTTTTGAAGAAATATAGTTTGGTTCAGTGAATTCTGTTTTTTTCCAGAAAATTTTCTTCTTTTCACCCCTCTCTCACCTCTTTCTTCTTCTACGTGACTTATTTCATTGCTGTTGATTGCAAGCTATCTACTTGCTTTAAGAATAGTTGGTTTGAAGAAATATAGTTTGGTTCAATGAATTCTAGTTTTTGCTAGAAAATTATCTTCTTTTCACTCCTCTCTCACATGTTTCTTCTTCTAAGTGACTTATCTCATTGCTATTTATCCAAACAGCAAGAGCACTCCTCTCTCTAGTTTGCTCATTCTTTGGTGGATAGCAAGCTATCTACTTGCTTTTCCATCCCCATTCTTCATCCCTAATTGACTATAGTCCTTCACCCTACAAAGCCCACCACCAGATCTAAAATTTGTAAGATTCCTACCCTGTTCTACAGGCTACATCATTAGGTCCATATCTGGTCTTCCCCTACTAAGAGCCCAGATTGCTGGGGCTAACATTAGGTAATGACTTTTTATTTTTGAGAAATCTGGAATCTGAGGTTAGAACATTGTGGTGCTGTCTTTAGGAAATGATTATAACAATGTCTGAGAAATGTCATTGATAATCTTGCACCTCCAAATTATCTATTATCTATTTACTTTTTTATTATTATTTGTTTAGTAGTTGCTTGATTAACATGTAACCTCAAGAACAAACCAGGACATTACTCAATGTTGGGCCAGGCTATCCTGGGTCTTGGGAAGGGTGGACTGGATACGAACCTTCCTCCTAGCACTTTTTTTTTGGGTACAAAGTGACACTGTTAGTGGCAAGGATGCTGAGCAAGACAAAAGCCCATTTAAGTTGGTCAGGTCCATCAAGAAGGTGTACAAAGGAGGTCCACGTAAGCAAGTTCAATACCTGTTGGTTGTAGGCAGTTGTAACAAAATTAACCAAATGTAAAGGCTGTATATAAAGAGGATAAACAAGAATAAGAAATCATAGTTTTTCCTTTGAAGTTGCTCTCTTTCTCTCTCTCTCTCTTTGGAGGTAGAGTCTCCCTCGAAGTTAGACTCCTGGGTGAGCAGGAACACACCAATTCTGGTATCAGAATCCACAAGAAAGGTTAAGATGACTAACACCCGTTCTGCCTCCATCGAAGACCGAGTTGATCGAATCGAAGTGGATCTGCACAAGTTCACGAGCGAATTTAGGGACATCAAGGAATCCCTTGTAATTTTATCTTTTGGAAAAGGTAATGTAATTTATTCAACACAGAAAAAAAGAATTAGTACAGAAAAACCCAGACCACTAAGACTGCCTGGGTACAAATCAAATTACAAACACATCCAGGACTGAGAACTAAACAAAAGAGCCAAATTCTGATGTTTGAACTCCTCAGTAACTGACACCCAAGAGATTAACTTGCCCACAGCTCTCTGCAGTACTTCATCCAGACTTTTAAATTTACTACAGAAGATTCTGTTGTTTCTCTCAGCCCAAATAGGCCACAACACAGCTGCAGGAATGGTACTCCATACAAGCTTTCTTTTCTTGCTTAGGCCCTCAAATCTCCAACAGCCCAACAGCTCCTTCACAGATCTTGGCATAACCCAACTAATGTCCAAAGCCTTTAGGAAGTGCCCCAAAACCATGAAGGGAATTGGGCAGTGAATACACAAATGCCCTGTAGTTTCTGCAAGAGATCCACACAAACCACAAGAGGGATCCAGAATCTGAATGCCACGCCTCTTCAGATTAGCTTTAATCAGACATTTATCAAGAGCCATTGTCCAAACCAGAAAGTTAATCTTGGAGGGACTAATTGGGTTCCAAATCTGATTGGCAGGGAAATCCAACTGACCCGAACTGTTCAGCTTGAGGACCAGGGACTTTACAGAGAAGCAGCCGTCTGAATTCCATTTCCAGCTCCATTCATCCTCCAGACTCATATCTATCTTCTGATTTTGAAGTAGCCCCAACAGCTCCACATACTCATCCAACCCCCAGTCAGACAAACTTCTCCTACAAAGAGGTGTCCAAACAATGGAACCACCAGAAAAATTAAAATTCTCAGCTACTGAAGATTCTTGATTCACAGAAATTTGGAAAAGGAGGGGGAAAGCCTCTGCCAAGGAGCCCTCCAAACACCAGGGATCCTTCCAAAACTTAATTCTATCCTCTTTTCCCACCTTAAGTCTGATCCCATCCAAGAGGATAGGAAGATTTTTCAATATGCCTGCCCAATGAGATCTGCCCCAGCTTGGATGAAGTTCCCTAGATCTCCAATCACCCCACTCCACCATGCATTCCTTTCAGTAGCAAATCTTAATAACCATTTACTGAGAAGGGCTGAGTTAAATTTCTTCAGATTTCTTCTTCCCAGCCCACCAACTTCCTTAGGGAGACGCACTTTCTCCCACTTTACAAGGTGAATCTTCTTTTCATCTTCCCATCTCCTCCATAAAAAGTTCCTCTGAATTTGCTGCAGCCTATTTGCTATTTTGTTTGGGATGGGGAAAAGAGAGAGAAAATAAGTGGGGAGGTTAGAAAGGGTACTCTTAATCAACGTCACTCTACCCCCAAATGACAAATATTTTGCCTTCCAAGAAGCCAATTTTTTCTCCATTCTCTCAATAATTGAAACCCAGGTCGAGGAGGAAGAACATTTTGCCCCAAGAGGTAGCCCCAAATACTTTACTGGGAGGAGTTCAATTTGACAAGCCATCACTTCTGCACATTCTTCTAAATTTTAGACTTGGCCCACTGGGATAATCTGAGTTTTACTCATATTAACTTTGAGACCAGACACCGGCTTCAAACCAACTCAGAATTCCAAGCACTGTTTCCAACTGAATCAGAGATGCATCAACAAAACATAGGGTATCATCTGCAAATTGGAGGATATTGACCTTATCCTTATTAGGGGAGATTGCAAATCCTTCCCAATAACCAGAATTTGCGGCCTTCTTACTAAAAAGAGTGAGGATTTCCATAACACAGATGAACAACAAAGGGGAGAGGGGATCACCTAGTCTCAAGCCTTTGGAACTACCAAAAAACCCCGTAGATTGTCCATTAATTAGGATTGAAAATTTAGGGGATTTAATACAAACTCTGATCCAGTTTCTCCATTGCTGCCCAAAATTCATTTTTTCCAACACAAGATTCAGGCAATTCTAGTTGACATGGCCATAGGCTTTCTCAATATCAAGTTTACAAATCACACCCGGAGTTCCCTCTCTTCTTCTGGAATCTATCAGTTCATTAGCAATGAGAATTGAGTCTATCATTTGCCTCCCCGGAACAAATGCACTCTGGTTATTAGAAATTACACTGCCTAACACCCCTTTCATTCTTTTTGCCAGAATTTTAACCAGGATCTTATAAAAACCGTGCAAGAGGCTGATTGGTCTAAAATCCTTGATATTCACAACCCCTTCAACCTTTGGAATAAGAGTAATAAATGTGGCATTCAAACTTCCTTGTAGAGAGGCATTTGAATGAAAAGCCTGGAACACATTCATCAAGTCTTTTTTCACAAAATCCCAGCATTTTAAGTAGAAAAGGTTTGTAAGACCATCCGGCCCTGGCGATTTATCACCTTCTAACTTCTTAATTGTTGTCCTAACTTCCTCCTCTGTGAAGGATCTCTCAAGCCAAAGTTTCTGATCTTCACTCAGCTGCTTGAAAGGAAAGTCTATAGGAAAGGGTTTGTGGGTCCAATTTCCTTATAGAGATTTTTTGTAAAAAGAGGTTGCCACTGACTTAATCTCTGCAATTGATTCCCCACTCCTACCTTCCCACACCAGCTTGTTGATTGAGGAAGCTCTTGCTCGGGCGTTTGCCATTTTATGAAAGAAGTGTGTTTTTGTCACCCTCCTTTAACCAAGTGACTTTAGCTCTTTGTCTCCACTTAATTTCTTCCTTTACAGCCAATTTATCAAAGCTATTTTTTGCTTGGGATCTTTTCAGCCTCAGCTCTTTAGATAAGGGACCCACCACTTTTGCTCTGTCA